GCACTTCACCGCTATCATTTTAGTCTGCCGCTCCACCTCTTGATCACCACTGATGTTCTGGTAAAGCGAGGTTGCGCCTGTAAACACAGCGCCTGCTCTGTTAAAAAAATAGTATCTCGATTCATTCAACATTTTAACCGGTTTGAATCGTTTCATAATTGAATCAATTTTCAGCTGACTTACAGTGAATTGTTACATCCCTACTTTTATGTATTCATCCTAATTGCATACACTTAAAAAATAGTTTTTGCTGGTTGTTCAAACTACTATATAAAATGAACTAAATCAACACAATTCTTGAGTTTTTATTTTGGGACAACTTAAATGTTTTTGTTCAATCCACTTAAATTTGTAAAAACAGTTAAGGTTAAGACTCGAGACTTACTTGTTACTTACTCCCACCTCTGCTAAATACTCTAGTTACAGTATAAGACACTTTACTATAGGATGTTTCAAAAACATAGTATTTGTTTTCATGAAGCGAACAGGGCATTTATTAAAAGTAGTATTGAAACAGGTCGTAACTGACTTGTCCACTTTGCTGATTAACCGGCATGAGGCTGTTGGCTCAGTTGCAAATACCAATAACCTTGTCCAGAGGTCTTCAATTAACAGACTGCAGTCCAGATCCAGACTAAGATTGACTCCGTCCAGACTGCAAATCTTTTATCTCACATTTAAACAGCATCTATTCATAGTAAAAGGAAAATAAGTATGGGGTTCAAATGGTTGCCAACTCCACAGACAATAATTTGGATCATATTGTGTCTATTTTGGTTGGAAATTAAAAAGAGCTCAACAAAAAAAGGCACTCTGTGTAATTTAATAATTTAATAATAATAATTTTAATGCATCTTAAACATTGGCTTTACTCACCATAAAACCCGAGAAGTTCTCTGGATTTTAACATTTTTCAAAACATTTGAGGTAATCGAAGTACAAAAGTCACCCAAATATTTTACACTGTTCTACTAGTTTTTAGATATTTTAACCCATTTATGCCTATTTAAAAAAATATTTTAATGCATGTAGCCATGTTAAGGGTGTCGTGTATGAACATGTTTTGCATTCATTTTTTCCAGGTTTTTAATTTTTTTTCAAGAAAATCATAATATACGGCAACTATAGTTATTGGTGGGCAAATATGTTGAACCCTTTAATGTAAAATTTGTATAGCAGGAGAACATTTGGCATTCTAACTCAAAGCAACTGCTTTCAAAAGATCAGTTCGTATTTATAAACACCCCATGAAAATCATATAATTTCATAAATATAAAAGCACAAAGAACTAATCACACTAACATACACTCGTTTCCCCAACAGACTACTGTGTGTCAAAAAGACAAATGGAAAAGTCAAAAAGTAAAATAAATGCTGGTATAAATACACAAAAGTAAACAAAACAAGCATTTTCAGTAAATTTCACTACAGACTTGTAGACATCCCATAGAAATAGTCAAACAGTTTAGTAATAAGTAACGCTGCTGATTCTGTTTGAGAAGTTGTTAAATGATCCTGATGAGCCAAGATTTTGAGAGATTAATTGAGTTTTCAGTTCCTATGACCATGTTCACACGTACACAGGTTTGTTTGTAAACGAAAACATTTTTTCTCAATTATCTAAAAACCACAGACCCTGACAAGGATTTCAGTGACCTGATAATGCATTTTTTTGTATAGAAAAAAAGCTGCAATTTTGACAAAACCCTCCGTTCGCTTAGCACTTAAACTCTGCTCCAGTGTTAGTTTTACTCTTTGTAGAAGTGGGACCAGTGAGTGAAGTTTTATTTTGGGATTTTGCTGTGTGTCAAATTGTGCATCAAAACAGGCTACTTTAAGCAAATATATCAATTAAATTATGTTATGTTGAGATGGTGTATTATGAAAGTAAAAATCCAACAAGACCAATAACCTTGATTTATTAATTAATAACACATTATTTCATAATTCACCATGATTTATGTACTTGCAAGGTATTTTTCTGCGGCAAATAGTTGTTGTTTAAACTTTTGACAAAGTTAACCAAAAAACTATAGATTTCTTGAAGGATTTGTTTTGTTTGAGCGGACACCTTCATGGTTATGTTAATATACATTTGTGAACAAAAAATTATTTTTAGTAACATGAGTATTGCCATTTTTGAGAGGGTTTGACTCCATTTTGCATCCTGGAATTAAGGCCTCATGTGACAGGAAGTAAATCAGTTCCTTTTTTATCTTTTATTTGGTTGTTTGCCTGCAGGTCATTGAGAAATTAAACATTGAAAATTACCTTTAAAAGGAAAATGGCAGCTGTGAACTTCAGCAATAGTTGCTGGTGGGCTTAAATGGGTTAATGAAAGAAATCTTACATATTGTGCCAAAAATATTCCTGAATTTTTTAAATAAATATATCAAGGCTGCCACATTTAAAGTAAATGTGAAAATTAATGTTTCCATTTCACAACATAGTTTTTATTTGTGCGTGTAGCTTTAGACTTCTATAGGCAGCTTTCAGTACTCTTAACTGATTAAAGTGTTTTAATATTGTACAGGACAATGCAATTAAAATGAATACGCTTATTCAGCAGGCGCACAACATCATAAGATGTTATTGGGTTAGATTTAGGTTGTGATGTCGGATGACCAAAACTCTAGCCAGTGTCTAAGGACAACATTATTTTGATGTCCAATAACATAGTTGATATTTGGTTTATTTTAGGTTGTGTTGGAAAGTGACCAATATCCAATGTCTTGAATCAACGTCATTTTGACATCAAATAATGACATTATTCATCAGGTATGGCAACCAAAATGCAAAGTCTCATAGACATCATAGTGGTAACATCCACACAACGTGAAGCTGTAACATCATTAGATGTTGATATTTGGTTGTTTTCAGGTTTTGTTTTTTGGGAAGTGACCAAAATACGACGTCTGTCTGACTCAATATACAAAATCCCTTGACGTTGGGGTACAACGTCAATCTGATCTCTAGCTGATGTCCTGCTAGGAAGTTTTCTGCTTAGTAAACTGATTATTCAATTTCCCTATGCAGACATAGAGTATATAATAATTGTGATGTATTTAACTGACATGATATTCTATTAATAATGAAGATGCTTATGTACGTTTTGTTTGCAGTAAAAAAGTAAAGGATTATGACATCGTCCTGTTGGTGGACCAAAAAAACAGAAAAAAAAAACATCTGCGCTCTGTTCTGCAGCTCCTCTCGATGTTGCTCAGTTGTGTTGTTAATGTTCCAGCACGCTGACAGCAGATGTGAGAACGCTGACGCAGACAGCTGTGTGGAGAAATAAAAATAAACATGCCGAAGAGAGATGCCATTAAAGATCATTCAACGTCAGTCAACTTCATTCTTTGAGTTCGTAACTCAAAGCTCCATTCAGCCAAATGATCAAAACATCAAAGCTTCTTTTATTAGAGTGTACTGAATAAGTCCATTGCCAAAGATATATATATATTTATATTATGTCCACAGTCTAAAAAAGCACTCTAAAGGTTGCCTGGAGGAATTTGTATTCTTCTAATCTTCTATTGTATTGTATGATTGTTTGTTCAGGACAAGAATATAAAGATCTTTCCCTTTTACTGCTACTCTGTTAAACACTGAATATAGCTGGAGGATATCCATACTAAACCAAAGTATATGGGAGTTAACTGGACAAATTACATGGCATTGCTTATTTCAATAAACTGCAAATTAAAACGCTATAATCAAGACAAATTCTTGTGTAAACAGAAATTGCTATTAAAAGCAACAGAAAATCCAAAGAATTCATATTTATGTATGTATTTAAGGGCTTAATTAGATTAATTTGGCAGGTTACGGTAATTAGACAAGTTATTGTATAATGATGGTTTGTTCTGTAGACCATCAAAAATATATATAGCTTGAAGAGGCTAATAAAATTGACCTTAAAATGTTTTTTAAAAAAATTAATTCTTTTATTCTATCCAAAATAAACCAAATAAGACTTTCTCCAGAAGAAAAAAATATTATCAGACATACTGTGAAAATTTCCTGAATCTGGTAAACATCATTTAGAAAATATTTAAAAAAGAAAAAAAATAAATAAATAAATCAAAGGGGGGCTAATAATTCAACTGTACAAGTAAATGCATGCTTTTTTTGTAACAGTGCTCAATCTTTACAAAATCTCTTCACCAGGAAAGAGGAAGACTATATTGATAAAAGTGTATTGATGAGCTCATTGATGATTTGTCGTTTACTGAGTAAAATATCAATATGGAAGCAGCAAAGTCTTAATAGGCCAATGTAAAACACACATCAGCATTGGCAGTCAAGTCCATTAGATTTGAACACACTTGTCAATCAGCAACTGTTTAAAATAAATAAATTAATTAAATTATTAAATAAACAATTGATTGAATGAATGATTAAATGAATAATTGAATAAATAAAATGTAGGAATGAATGAATGAATGAACATTATTATAGATGTGAGGGGACCCCAACAAAATTAAATGATAAACTAAAAATATTTTGCTTAATAAACATTGTAAACAATGTACACTGTACATTGTACTCGTGATTGTAGCCTACTCTATTTATTTCTTTATTCACACACACACACTAATAATTTAATCATACAACTTCTTTTATTATGTTTGATTTGTACATCTTTATTTGTTTTAATGTAGTGATTTATTTATTTTAGTTAAATAATGCAGGCTTTTTGTATTAATCGATAGTCATTATTATTTTGTTTTAGTCTATTTGTTTATTTATATTTACTTAATGTTTGATTTCATTATTTACATTGCATCATTTATTTATTTATTTATTTTATTTTTTTTTATATTTTTACGGATCCTCTATAGTTCTTCGAGACCTCCAGGGGGGTCGCTTAACTCGAGTTTGAAACCCTCTGCTTTTAGCATTAAATATGTGCACTATGTAAAATAAGTGTATATATAAAGCACTAATTTTAGCTGAAACATTCTCTCATCTGTCTTGTGCCGTATAATGTGTTGTAGGGGTGTTGTTCGAGTGGACGTCAGCCTGCAGGATGTGGATATTGACCAGTGCTCTGCAGACGGCTGGTTTGCAGGAACACACAGGTGTAACATCACCACTATGGAGGTGAGTCCTTTTTAAATCTCCACTGACACACAGTTTAAATGGAAATAGTTTTACTTGTTAGTTACATTCCAGGGGTATCATTTATGAATGTGGCATACACACAAAACAGGGGCGGTGTGTACACCACTTAGCGCACAAAAGTCATATATGAAAAACAAATTTGATGGGAGAATGTGGTCAGCTGTAAATAAACTGCAAGTGAATATATTTAACTTAAATATTGACTTAATTAAGCCACTTTAAATCATCATATGAGCCATAATCATTAATACACAAATGAATAATTGATATTCAAAAAAATGTAATATTAAATAATAATATTTTAGGAAGGTTCCAATGTGTGGTTTTTTTTGGTAAAAAAGAAGTACATTTGGATTTATTGACCAAATAAAAATTCAGATCTTAAAATGTGTGTATCAAGTCTTACATTTATTTTTATATGTATTTCAAATATATTATAGATAATAGGTCAGAAAAGGCAGTTTAAAATAGATATTAAGGGTTTACTTTGACATAATTTGCACCCTACTCGTGAAAGCGTTTGCCCCCAGGCTTGATTACTGCCACACCTGTTCACAATCAAGAAATCCCTTAAATAGTGTGTGTGCGTGTGCGTGCGTGCGTGCGTGCGTGTGCGTGCGTGCGTGCGTGCGCGTGTGTGCTTGTGTGTGCGCGTGTATGTGTGTACAGTAAGGTTATTTGGATTTTTTCAAATAGTTTGTCGACACCTTTAATGACTAAATCCATCTGTTGATGCAATATAAGTTTGTCAAGTATATAGCTGCATCTCAAATGGCAAACGATGCACTCATGCACTATGTATTTTATATTATACATATATGCTGTTGAGTGTGTAAGTGCATATGTAGTGTCGTCCCAAATGGAGCCGACACTAAGGTTTTTTTTTACTAAGCAAAAATTCAAAACGCGGTTTGTTTGGCATATGTGAAACCACTAATCGCGCTCGGATCTGCGCCAAAAAAATCACTCCAAATCGCCTGAATGAGGTGGTCTCGGCTTGATTGAATGGAACTCTGGAACGGATCGATTTTAGTGAGAAAGCAATGCGATCCGAGCCCACTTATATCACAGTGTATTATGGATATGTAATAGGAATAAGTCTATATGAAGAGAGAATTTTGAGTAAGAAATGCACAGACTCCTGGATGCCCGCAAACGAGTGATAATCTCCCGGAAATCGACGTCTCCCTCCCAGTCCTCAAATACGTCGTGCACCCTTCTCTCCCTTCCCCACCGCATCCCTCCTCGCTCTTCAGACACATCACGCGCACCCTGTCAAACACCACTAAACCACCACCCCTCGACAGCTGAGCAGGACTCTACAAAATAAATCGTGAAACTGACCAATGTGAGTAGACTTTACTCATGCATCTGTGACTTGTTTTAGCTCTTTTGGTCCGTTTAGAAACTCTGCAGTGTGAAAGCGAACCGCACCAAGAGCAAAGAGCAACGCTGTAACAATTTGAATACCTGTTTCGGAACAACTGAATGGATTCACAGGCGTGAAGGCACCCTCACATTCTGATTTCCACTCTTGATTCATGGTATTCATCCTGCTGTTATTTTGAATAACAAAATACTTTTATTTGATGTCTTTGACCTTCTGCCTCAACAGTGAATGATTCTGCAGTGTCTTAATGCTGTTAAACTGATGCTCGGAGAATTCCAGTTATAAAGAGAATAGATTTTTAAGGTCTGGCTCCTTCATAATGGATGTGATGTAATAGATTGCACAGGGAGCACTGAATAATTGAGAAAGCTCTTTGTGTGCTCGGCCTCCTGATGGACACTGCACAGTATGTATGTGTGTGTGTGTGTGTGACACATTCGAGCATACCGCACATAGCGACACAGCATCTTCATTTTATTATGCAATTGAATTGTGACCTCTGTCATAATAGCTTCCGTTCACCCCTCGTATAGCACAGGTCTGATGCAAGCTATAAATAGAGCTCAAAACTGCAATGCAATCAGGAGTTTTGTTGTAATTTAATATAGCTGCAGCGTCTCTAGTATGCAAAAAAAAAAAAAAGCTGTAATTCGCGCTCATTATCTCAGATGTCTATTGCTGAGACTGCAGCCCACATGCCATTGATCCTATTTACACCGAACCAGAGATTCCCTGCTTCATCAGGCCAAGAATGCCATTAATGAAGACTTCCGGAATGTGGAATCTGATACTCCACATGCATTTAGACATTGCGGTTGATACTGAAACATCCTACTATGCATTATGGAGTTAATGATGTGAACAAACTCTCATTTTCAGTTTAAATGAGGCCATTTGATGATTATTAAAGGTCCCATGAAATTAAAATAAAGTTTTTTTCTAAATGTTAGTATCAGTATTGTTAGTTTTTAGGAAATTTATATGCTAGTGTGCTCCAAAACAGTGAAACAATTTACTTTTAGAAGATATAAAACTGATATAAACATGTAAGGCTTGCAGTTCGTCACTCCCACCTAAATGGAACGTTTTAAATTCACGTCATCTCATACTTCAGTTTCTTATCAAATCATGAGCAATCAAATGCTCTCTACTATCTGACATGCCCTGCCCCCTTCAAGACGCTTTACATTTGATTCGCTTGAGCTCAAACACTCTCACTGTCAGAGCTCTGATTACAGTTTTTCTTGATTGCTTTGATGCAGCCGTCAACTGAAGCTCCATATTTTCAAAACAGTTAACACACAGGCCTAACAGCGGCACTCATGTTCAAAATGACACATTTTGCTTGCAAAACGCACATAGTGTGTTAAAACATTTAAATATGCAACAAAAGCTAGTTTTACCTTTAAAGAACACAACTTGAAAGCAAGTATATGAGCTCTTTCAATTAATCATTTCACAATGGACAACAAAATACAAAATACCGAGCTCAAAATACAGTGAATCAGTGCGCCATTTCTTGCCATTGTAGCCTATTGCCAATGCCATTTGTTGTCTTTCTATTTGGGCTGTCAAATTAGTTTTTTTTGCAAAGAATTGGCTCCAGATTAAGACATGATTTGATAAAATTTATATTGAGTTCATGACATTTTTCAAACTGTGGCTGAAAACTGAAATACTGTAAAAAACAAAACAAAAAAAAAAAAAAACTGACAAATAAACATACTTCCTGGGACGTGTTTCACGATCTCCAGAAATGTATATAGGGGTACGTATCAATAATGAGCCTGGGTGGGTTTTCTGCAAAGGTCGAATACAAATGTTGTTTATTTGCTATTAGCCCACTACCAACTTTGCCCCAGGCCATGCCTCTTAGCTATGATGCTTCACCAACCAAGTCTATTTGATTCAAGAGAGTTCTTATCAGCAACTATCAGGTTTAAAATGAAACCCCATGCTGACTGGCTTGAAATACTGAACGACATGGAATGGAACGGTTAAGCGAAAAGAACCATTCGGCCGACCTGATTGGTGATGATTTCTGTGGCTAGAGTCATACTCTACAGTGAAAGCTACAGAAATGTAATGCTTTGTAATGCTATCTTCAAAACACCCTACAGCAATTCTAAACCAGGGCTATGCTTGAGCCAGTAGAAAGAATGGCATTTAATGACAATGAGTTGTGTTTCAATCAATTAAAAAGGTTTACTGTAGACAGTGGTCTCAGCACTTCCAACGCAATAAGTCAAGTCAGCAAGACAGTGATGGGCTTAAAAATCAGAAATAACATTCTTTTCGTATCTAATTTCAGACACAGAGATCTGTTCCATTACATAAATTTGGTTATCTCTAACAATTTATTCTTCATTTATATGCATGCGTCTTAAGTTGTTCAGATCAGGACTCCATTGAAGCACTGCTTCATCTTTCTGGAATAAAACAGCATGTCCACACACAACTTTTACTTGTGATTTATAATATAGCATCTAATGGAGCTGTTAAAGGGGATTTTGTCATTAATTATTTACCCTTGTTTTGTTCCAGGTCCATAAGACCTTATGAGTGATTGCGAAAGCAAGCAAATGTGAAAGTAAGGATAGTGAGGGTACAGAGCATAGTTTTGACAGCAATATTTGTTTTTTTACTAAGTACTATATAAATACCTGCTTTGGTATATTTTCTGACAACGTGTCCAATTTGAAGACATTAATAATTAGACTAAAAAAGCAATAGAAAAAAAAAAAACCTCAAACTAGTTTGGAACAAGCCAAGAGTGAGTAAATGATGACAGAGTTTTAATTTTTGGGTGAACCATCTCTTTAAATATACAAATTAGCTGACATTTTTAACTGTAAACATACACTTGTAGGCCACTTTATTAGGTACACCTTACTAGTACCGGGTTGGGTTCTTCAGAACGGTCTTAATCCTTCATGGCATAGATTCAACAAGGTACTGTAAATATTCCTCAGAGATTTTGGTTCATATTGACCTGATAGCATCACACAGTTGCTGCAGATTTGTCGTCTACACATCCATGATGCCAATCTACTGTTCCACCGCATCCCAAAGGTGCTCTATTGGATTGAGTTCTGGTGACTGTGGAGGCCATGTGAGTACAGTGAACTCATTGTCATGTTCAAGAAACTAGCCTGAGATGATTCACGCTTTATGACATGGCACGTTATCCTGCTGGAAGTTACCATCAGAAGATGGGTACACTGTGGTCATAAAGGGATGGACATGGATATCAACAATACTCCGATAGGCTGTGGTGTTGACACGATGCTTAATTGTTTTTAACGGGCCCAAAGTGTGCCAAGAAAATATCCCCCACACCATTGATGTATCCATGCTTTTATGTTTTTTATGCCAAATTCTGACCCTATCATTGAATGGCGCAGCAAAAATCGAGACTCATCAGAGAACCTCCAATGTTTTCTGCCTCAAGGTTTGACGTGTTATGTGTTCAGAGATGCTCTCTGCATACCTCGGTTGTAACAGGTGGTTATTTGAGTTACTGTTGCCTTTCTATAAGCTATAAGAAAATTCCAGTAGATCTCCGTTTCTGAAATACTCAGGTCAACCC